GGCTATCGGCAACATGCGTAAGGAGGGCGTTGCTTTAGTTAGGCACGGTCATCGCATGCGGCGTAGTCGTATCTTCCGGTGTAAATTGAAAAAAAAAATCGCTTCGTTATAGCAGGTCTTATCACAGCAGCTATTCCTTTAAAAGGGTACTGACACAAAATTTTGGGGCCGAGATAGCTTGCGGGGTCGATTCTCGTGAACATTCATATATCATCTGCAAGATATCAACAATGAATATAGCTTGGAAGGATTTATATTATTTTGAAGTTTGCGTGAGCGACCGACTCCATTGCGCTATAGACACGCTCGGAGGAGACCCCGAGGGGACCTTCTACTTCCTTCACGTCAACGCGCTGCAGTCAAGAAAACAAGTTATGATGATGTCAATGCCGCCATTTTTCTTTTGCCACGGTAGTTCCCGAAGTTTATATTTCTCGGTGGCTGGTTGCGAGTGCGTGGCCGTGGCGCACGCTTAGAAAGTTTTGTGTTTGGCGACATTCCAGTCCCGTTTCCTATTCGAAAGTAATTCTTGATGTGGACCGTGCGGGAGTACGTCACAGTTCTGTGTGCCTGCGTAGTCGACAGCTGCACACGCTAGGTGGCGACAGTTGCACCCGATTTCTTGCTTTCAAACTGAAACTGACACTAATTGATAATGAGGGGCCTGTAATTAATCATCTGTCGCGTGCTGCAGCAAATGGTGTGTCGTGTCATGACTAACAGGCCTCCAGCAACGCATTGCAGCAGAAAAACGCGAGGCCAAAGTTTTTGTGTCAGTACCCCTTTAATATTTTTTCCTGCCTTTCCTGTATGCCCTCCCTCTATTCGTCTCTCCCTTGAAGGACTCTGTCTGTTGTGGCTCAACAGGAGTCCTTTCATGCGGCAGTTGGGATGCGAACGCTGCGAGAACAGTCCAGGTAGTGTTGCTTCAGAAAACTGCAGCTAGGGCTGCACTCAGTTTTCTGGCTGACATGATGTCTTTGTACGGATAACTATTTAGTGCGCAATTAATAAAACAGGTTCTTGCTGCTTACTCAAGGGAGCGCGCAGTGAAGTGAACTTAATTTTTAAAGGGGAAATTTCGATTCGGAATATTGTGGGTTTTAGAGTGCAGTCATCATCGAAATTGCAGTAATTATAATGATAACCACACCACTCTGAGGCTACCCCGAAGGTACCTGATGGTTGCACTATATATGTACATATTAACAAACGCCTCCTCTCCGGCGTTATCACGGTCCTGGATAAACGCCTGTGGTGAGAGTGAGGGTGCGGAAGTAAAAGGATAAAGGGTATAAATGTATATATGCCGCCTTGGTGGCTAGAAGAAAAAAAAATGAACGCGATAGCAACGAATTGGAAGTTCACGCGCAGAATGACTAGCAGATCGAAACGTGCCCTGCGTTTCTCACGCACACATGACGCGCGAAACGTATTCCCAGGTACAAATGAACGCGAAGAAGCCTCGCGGTTGTTACTTCGCTGTGCCTGAAAAGCGTGCTCTTTTCGCAAACGGAGACTGTGCTATGAGTGCAGTGACCATTGTGCGCCCCAATAACTACAACAGAATCGTTCCGGTGAAAGCCCTAAGCGTGCGATTGTCCCCACCGCGAGATAAGCGAGTGCTCGCGAGAGCGTCCCTCTTTGCGGTGCAAAGTACGCGTGGGAGATGGGAGCGTGCGCGCTCATTGCGTCATCTCGCTGGTAATGCTGAAAACACGATAGTAGTTCCCCACGAGATGCCCTTCACCAGCGGTAAGTGGTAGATATAAATAGCTTGCCGTTTGAATGTTGAAGGAGCGCTCATTCCTGGCTCATTGGTGAACGCCTCGTAGTCACGGTGCAGAGGTCTCAAGTTCGATTCCGCGCGCTGCAGTTTTTTTTTCTGGATTATTTTTTTTTCTTGCATTTGCGCACACAAACACACACACACACACACACACACACACACACACACACATATATATATATATATATATATATATATATATATATATATATATATATATATATATATATATATATATATATATATATATATATATATACGGTAAGTGATGGCTATGCCGACGCCGCCGGCGGCAAAATCCAGCCGTGAGTGTCCATATAATTGCTATCGCAATAAAAATGTTCAGCACTAATATTAGAGAGAACTCGTATGGCGTAACTTCTGTAGTAAATACACGGGTGGTTCATGCAGTGAATAATAAGGCCAACCAGTCGCCCCTCTGGATTCTGAGTGTTGATTGATTGATATGTGGGTTTTAACGTCCCAAAACCACCATATGTTTATGAGGGACGCCGTATAGTGGAGGGCTCCAGAAATTTCGACCACCTGGGGTTCTTTAACGTGCACCCAAATCTGAGCACACGGGCCTACAACATTTCCACCTCCATCGGAAATGCAGCCGCCGCAGCCATAATTCTATCTCGCGACCTGCAGGTCAGCAGCCGAGTACGTTAGCCACTAGACCACCGCGGCGGGGTGATTCTGAGTGTTCCATCTGCCGCACAGGCCCTGAACTTGCTTATCGGTTATAGCCGATAAAAGGTTGGCGCTCAATGCAAGCATTCATACTATGCTGTATGGCATATTGAGGTTAACGCTCTATAGTTCCGAGTTCATCGCATGCTTCTTCGCTTCTCGTGCTTGAGCCACCTCAGATTCGTTCTTATAAATTATGAAACTTTGTACCTCCTTGATCCTATATACAATGTCACTACCATATCAACTGAGTATTTATTTTAATTTTTCACGAGAAGTCGAGACACTTGCTGGACCTTTCGTGCCTTCTGTTGTGTTTCTTCCCGACGATGCTGTTGTTAGGACGTGGAAATCAGGCAGGGTTTCAGCTAGTCGAATTCCAAAACAAAGGGAAAGAAATAATATAGAAGAGAGAAATTAGTAAAAAAAAGTGAACTGTTGTTATTCTTTATTAGAGTAATACTGTTGCCTTGATGGCTAGAAGACAAGAAAAATCTGCGCAAAATTGCTCTAAATAACTCGTATTGCGTACCTTGTGTACATACATAGACGTGTGGTGTATATACAGTGTATACTTATGAATTCCAACGTAAAACAATTTTTTTTGGCATAACGACTAGTTCGTGGAATTACCTTGAGATAATTGCTGTATAAATGGGTGTAACTCCCCAACGAAAACGTAACCACTTTTCGTGGAGCAAACGACCCACCGCCCTTAGCATGAATTGGAAGCAAAATAAGAATTTTTCCGGCCGATCGAACAGCATATATCCGTGCTTTTTTGACTGAACAAGGTCGGTGGCGCACTCAATGGGCTCAACGCTTACGCCACAGACATGTTAAGTTTTCTGTTCTGTATACAGTGCATCGGCTTCTTCGGCGGCTCGCGATCTGCCGCCTTGAGTTGCTGCATGCACGCTGTGGAATGCAAACGCGCGGGCTGCTGTACCGGCGCCGGCGCTCCACGGGGTCGCGAACTCGTGCGCTTGTCGAGTCGTGAGCTCTCCAACGAGTTCGCCGCAGCCGCCGCTGCTGTTAGCAGCTCGCTGCGGTTCTAACGCATGCACGCATACGTGCGGAGGGGGTTGATCGTGCGGCTCTGCGCGTAATCCGGACTGATGTATTCGATTAGTCTAGCGCGCTTGGTGCCCGTCACGCGGAACTGACAGATTTCCGACGAGCGCCTGTGCGGCCCTGCTTGTCCGTTCCGACGCGCCATGCGTCTATATAGGCCGCGATCCCTAGGTCTTTCTATAAACGCGTTCGGCTTGCACCACTGCGAACGTGGTGGGAGGACATATCTGTGTGATCGCAATGTCCAGAGCAGCGCCTCGCTTGCTTCTTAGCTGCTTCTTCTGCATACTGTGCGCTCCACATGCGTGTCTGGCAATGTATCGGTGAGGTATACAACTCCTGTATGATAGCGCGAGACGAACGAATGCACCAGTTGACGTCAATGAATGTGTGTTATGTGATTTTCTAAAGCCTAGAGTGTGGCCCTTACGATTGCTTCAGGCAGCATCGCAGAATGACTTGCAAACTAGAATATGAATAAATAACCGTGGGGGGGGGGGGGGGGGGGGGGGGGTCGGTGGTTCGGGCACTTGGCTGCTGACCCGGCCAGAAGATATTTTTTTGATCCCAGCCGCCACAGTCGCATTTCGATCGCTGCTAAATGCTAGAGGCCTCCACAATGGCGTCTTTCATAGCCCGAGTCGCTCTAGGGCGCGAACAAAAAAAAAAAAAACGAATTAACCAACCAAGAGTGTAAATATGCAGTACATAAACGATGGCGCGCGTGCTGGAAGGGAGCCACTGGTCGCCTTTTTTTTTTTAGGTGAACGGAGAATTGAGCTGCCGCTTCATGGGAATTCTAAAACCATTGCGCGAGAGTATATACACGCGCCAGACTTGGGAGCGAAAGCACCTCGGGAACGCGACGAAGTGTCAAGCAACGATGCTTGTGTGGACGTGCGTGCCACCGTATTCGCCGACATCAATAGCTTCAGCGTATTACATATAGTAATATTCACCGCCGCTACGGTGGGACATATATAGTGATAACATTCAGTTTTTCAATTGCAAACTGACGTGCGTTGGCTGTGCATTTCTTGTTGGAGCTGAACGGTTGGAAGATCTATGTGCGTGCAGGTGGAAAACCGATCGCTTCTATGATGTCCATTTCAGGCTTCTTGGCGCACTTTAGTACGTAGTCTCTTTTTTTTTCTTTAGTTGTTTCTCCCTCCGAGTAACGGTCGTCACGTGCTTTCGTAGCATGGATCCGCTCCGTATTTATGCTTGCATAAATGTGCTGCAAACTAGTTGACTTTGAGAGTGTAACTGGTGTTGAACCCGAAGGTCTAGTTTGAAAAAAAAAAATGTTTTTACATGAAAATGAATGCCGGGGTTGATGGCTTCATGACTGTAGTGACGTATTTCCGTGACGTAAATACGTCAGCAAAATAAACCTGGCCATACGGCAACGAAAAAAAATAACCTGAAAATGATCGCTTACCGGAAGTCGAACCCATACCTCTCCTCCAACGACGACGGCTGGCGGGCGCTTAACCCTCTACGCCACTGCTAAAGCCGCGAAGGAAGTGGTACGAAAGCGCGTTTTATATCTTTCACAGTGCTCTTGTTCACCGGGCGGTGTCGCCGTATGAAAACGGGAGAGTCAATGTATGCGTGGCTTCCACGATTAGCTCAGGCAACGCACCCTTGCTATTACTGTCTCTTTCGGTGCGTTTCTAACAAAAGTGTGAATTTGTCAACGTTTTGACACACCGCGAGAAGGCGACTTTAATGCAAACCTCGCTCATAGCATTCATTCATATTATTAATATATAGCTCTCCGGCACTGTCAACCGCGTTTCGCGCTCGCCTTGTGCGAAATCACGGCCGTGCTAGAAGGAACACAAGATGCGCGTTGCGTTTCTCTACGCGTTTCACGACGCTTTGGAGGACTGCATACCTACTTCCGGTGTTTATTGTGTGCTTGTTGCTGCCATCTTTGTGTGGCACCGTAGTGGTGTCCAGGTTCACAACATCGGCTACCGCAAATGTTAAATTATGATCATGGCCGTTAGTCGTCGGGACGGTGATGCACCGTTACGCGTCAGCATGGGTTGGCCCACATCAGGCAGTGCTATATCTGCCAAACACCAATAGACATTGTACCAACTCTCACATATCTATAGACAACCAACTACTTCTGTAAAGACAACTTTCACTTTCGTGTTATACCGATTCCTATGACGGAGGGATCAGCCATGTTTTATTGGGCTTTAGAGAAAGGATGGACAAATATATCGTTGACGTTACATACTAAGCATCTAACTAGAGCGTATTGAAGATTTATTTATTTCTTTCGTCGTGACTAAGACAGTTAACGATGTACTAATTAAGCTTTAAAGTTCTGCGACTCGAGAATATGCATAAGGCAAGTTAAAAAATATCACCACCAAAGCATTCTGTACAAATGGTTAATCAGTGAAGCTGAAACATGTGGCCGCTGGAGAAACTCCCGCCGTAAGCGGGCGTCGGTCCCGGCAAACGCGTTTCCGCCATTGACGCGTTCACGTTGCTCTGCCTGCTTCGCCACTTTCTCGGCTCGCCGTTGTCGCTTTCATTCGGTTCGAAAGGCTGCCGAATCCGGGGTGTGCAGTCGCTGCTTTTGCTTCGCCATCCGTGCTTGTTCTTCTGCATGGAGCGCTGCATCATCCCGGCGAACATTAATTCTCCCATGCATCAGCTGTCGGGGTTGTTCTTCGGAAGTTGCCTGCTGTTCGAGTGTTCGTACGATCCGTGCCCTCCCCATGTGGAAGTTGTAAGTTGGAACTGCTACGAGCGGTCTCGGCAGCGCGCCTGCGAAGTGAACAACGTCACTGACGGCGCTCCCTATGGCGCGCGCGCTCGGTGCGACGTAGAGAGCGACGTAACTGACGCAGCAGCCAATAGAGAATGTTACCGTTTCTCGTGGCGGACGGTTTTTCGGTTCTTCTAGCGATATACAGCTTTCGCTGTAAAACCCCCTTAACGCTTTTCCGACGTTCTGTTCTATATGCAGCAGCGTTAACGTCTGTACAGAGTGCTGAACTGTACATTTGGTCGTTTTGATGCAGCATTTCTCCCTGCTTTTTTGTCTGCCGAGAAACGCTTTCAGGAAATGAATTATCCATTGTTCACACATTGTTCACTCGTGAATCGTGCATCTCATTCCTTTGCTGCCACGTCTTGCGAAAAGCCGGTGTTGCTCGGGTGGCTTGACAGGTCATTTCTGAAAGCATTGACACGCGGTTTAACCTGTAGTGATCAGGAGCTCTGGGAGAAAAAGAAACCGGAAAGAAAAAATTGTACCTTCATCTATTTATGCAGAGCCTCGTTTCACCGGCATGCCGCGTGTTTTTTTCTTTTTTGTCGTCGTTGTATACATGCCACCAGACACATTCCCTCCTGCAGTTAGTCACGGAGCAACCCAGCGCGTAGAGTACATCTTCTCAAGCTGCGTCGTTATCATCGATGCCCCGCTACCCAGCACGCCGTTCGAGCAGTTTTCCGAACCCACCAGACGACAACGGGCTGTTCGCGACCCTTCGAAACCACATTGCGAGTTCAGTGAACGACGTGGACGATCAGTTCCGCTCCCATCTGAACGCTGGCGCTCGTGAATCGTCCGAAGCCGGATCGACTACCACGCCCGCCATCTCGAGAGCGGGAAGCCTGGCAGACGCGTCGGTCAGCCCCCGTCGGCTCTCCGTTCGCAAGGAATCGTCCGCAGGCAGCGTCCGCTCGTCGGGTCGTGACACCCCTTCGCGTCTAGCCGCTGACGGCGATACCGGTGAAGGAGGTGGCGGCTTCGGGTTTGGAGCGACCGTGGCGCATATCTCATCAGCTTTCCGAAGCTACCTCGCTGACATGACTACGGAACCACCATTGGAGCCGACTTTTGGCGCAGGCAGCGAAGAACGCCTGCCGACGCCTCCAGTGAGGAAAGAATCGCTGGGTCGCTTCTCGGTAGCACCCGTCGCTCTGGAGTCGACAGGCCCATTCGAAGAGTCTGCAAAGTCGGCCTGTAGTAATGGCATCTCGATGTCCGCGATTCGGGAAGATCTCCCTGGCTTCGACTTTTGTCGCCGTTCTTGGGACGCCGTTCCCGACCCGAACACTCTGGGGTGCCCTAGAGGCGATTCCGTCCGACCTGAGAACACCGAGAGCCATTCCGTTGCACCGGGCCACTTGCCGGCGACCGTGGCCAAGAAGTCACGCCGCTCTTCGTCGCTCGTCCAGCTCAAGCGCTTCGCAAAGTTTCGCCTCTCACTGAGGAACGGTAAGCGCTTGAAGAGACGCCCCTCGCTACGTAGCTACGATGATAAACATAAACGATTTCTGGTTAGTTTAGTTGTTATCTTTGGCAGATTGTGGCTGTTTGCAATAATGTATAGGCTGAGCATCGCCCACTCTCCCGTCCGCTCGCTCCTCACTTTCGACCATTCGCTGGCTGGGCCCCTCTCTAGGCGATGACAGAAGTGTGTGAAGGCGAATGCCTGACGGCAACGGCGCCCTCTCTTGGCGCAAGAAATGCATTTGCATTTCCTCGCGATTCCCTTCGAGGAAGTGGGGGCATTTTTGCGATACAGCACAGCTGTTTGCTCATCTTCGATTCTTCATTAATATAATAATTGCCCGAACACTGTCTTACAGCGTTCGGGCATTACTTGTTGCAGTACATGCACCAGAGTGTGAGGAGCAGGAGCAATGGCCAACGCTTGTAGTCATGTGCTCGCTTCGAGTTCGCATTGAAAGTACTATTTATAGTGTCGCTCTGAGTTGAGAATATATGACTAGTGGCTGGTTTATAGTGCATTAATTTATACTTTATAACTATGACGTCGCTAAAGCATACAAGCTATGCTGAAACACGTCGGTGGGCTAGTTGGTTTGCATCCATGAAGTGTGAGTAAACGCGGACAGACAAGGTCGTAGAAGAGTACTGACATGGACAGAGCGCTCTGCCCGTGTCAGTGCTCTTCTAGGTCCTTGTCTGTTCGCGGTTACTCACACTTAATGGGCACAAAATATGTAGTATATACGTGTTGTTAGGAATTCGGGTTTGATGGTATCCCACCACTGTCACCACTGTTAGGAATTCGCTGTGTCGCAATGGTAGCGGTCGCCGAAAGCCACGAGCAGCCAAATAGACGTCGCTGAAGCCTTCCCCCAGTGGCGGAATAGGGAGACAGTTGTTTTGAAAACAGCAACGTTTACTACAGCATACTATAATTTGTACAGAGCCGGCCAGCATGACGACGTCGGCTGGTGCACAAATCCTCAAACATCGGGCCGGCACAGCCTTAAATAACGTATTGGTCTTTTCTCTGAGACCAGTTCGCGGTGCTTGGTGGAGGTGGCGAAGCCTTCCTAGGAACTGCACGTGGCTCAGCGGAGGAGGCGCAACTTTCCCCGGACCTACACGTGGCTCGCCGCCGTTTGTGAGGCCTTCCTCAGAACGGCACGTTGCTCTAGGGGGGAAAGTTCGCCGGAACTGCGCTCCTTCTCGTGGGAAGAAGCGCTCCCGAACGAGGACCATGCCTCTAGCATAACAGTGCCCTCGCCGCCAGAGAATGCATCCGGAGGTTTTGAGCCGTCTAGCGTGGTTCAGAAGGAGGGATGCTGGTTGACCGTTGAGAACTGTAGCCGTTCCGCTCTCTCCGCCCGTGGTGACTTTCACAGCCCTGCAGAGGATCCCTAGAACGACGCAGTCGAGCACAGAGCCAAACCACTCTGGCCAAAGCAAGCGCCCTCCAAATGTTGATCAAATCGCCAGACCAGCAGAAACGAAAATATTTTCTGGAGATTAAGCTGAGCTAAAAAAGTAGCACCACGAGCAACGTATCTCAGGAGGAATCCACAATGCGGACACAGCTTTAGCTAAGTGTGAGTGCATGACACTGCTAAACCAAACAGAATTCTTTTTTCAAGCGGTTCTCAATTGTGCTTTAGGCAGATTGTGGACAATCGAAGCGGCTGAGGTTATTCAATTTGGCCCCGAAACTACAATTTAGAATACCAAGCACTTCTCAATCACGCACATTGGCGTCGCTTGCAAGCGTCAGACTGTTAAGCATAACAAAGTTAGTCCTCCGACAAGCTCGCTCAATGCGCGCAGCCAATGATCATCACAAGAAAAAACACGCTTGAACATAGTAGGAAAGTAACACTGAAAATCAAATTTGCGGCGTTGCACGAAACAAAGTTAAAAGTTCACCTACGCTGACGCGCATACTAAGACGTAATGCCAAACACAGCCGGCATTTTAAACAGGGGATTTTACTCAGCCTTCTCTGTTGAGATAAAGCTTTCGAAATATCAGGAAAACAAAAGTAATCATACAAACATATCAATGTGTGCTTCTCCAATGGAAAGAAAAGTAAAACTTACAAAAATTCAGATGCATTCCTTGTTCATCGGTGGGCGACAAAATTAGAAAAAGTTATTCTGAAAACTAAACACGAAATACACTCTCGGTAATGGCAAGACGGCGCCCTCTCAGGCGAACTCTGGGGAGTCGCGTATTCCGCAGCTTTGGAGGGTTGCGGTCTGGACAAAGGGATGACGAACCAACCTGTTCGTCAAACTCAGCAGCAGCGACTTGTGACCCGCAGCCGCTGAACTCGATGAAATGGGCATTTGCACTGCATCGTTTACCCTGCCCGTGCCATCAGTGACCCTTTAACCACGGTGGGGAACAACCGCTTGTGTTACAGCACAAGCGCTCGCAACGTTTCCCCACTTGCTTGCATCGATACGCGGCAGTGAAAACGGTGAGACCAGGCGGTAATTTCGGCGTTCAAATTTCCCTGAAATTTGGTCTTTCTTGACGCGCTTCCCGCCTAATCTTGATCTCGGTGATGTTCTGAGCTTCAAACATTGCCTAGATGGCCCTTTCGCGATCCTACGCTTAGCCCTGAAACTGGCGTCTCGAATGAAGATGTCACGGCACTTAACAGTGGCTTTAGCGCACTTGGCGCCTGTCATCTTTTCCGCGTTATGCTTTCGCAGGCGCCTCCTTTTGACGGATAGGCTAAGAATGCCGGCTGCTTTGACACACTTAATTTCAAGTGCGCTGCCTTTCACAGGCATTGCCGAAACTCCAGACTGGTTAGCTAGCTTTTCCTCGCGCCCGTTGCTAGCTGTCTCTGCTTGCGACATAACGGGATTCCCGATGCATATAAAGTCAATCGACTCGCCTGAGGAAGTCTTTTCAGTTCGCAAGGGTTCTCTCTCCCGTTCTAGGATAGCCCTAGTTCCCAGGCTTTCGTATTCAGCCTCCTGCTCTCTTTGACGTGATTCATCCTCATCACGTGCTTGGCGCAGCGGCCCCATCTCTAGCGCCTCACGATGCTCCTCTGCGTTCCTAGGTTTCCGATGGGCCTCCGCCCTTAAGGGCCGTTCCACGCGCTAGCCGCACAGCCGCAACGCACGTGCTGGGCCCCCTTCTGCGGGGGACAAATAAGCCAATCGGTGACGCTCTTTCACCCTCCGCTTGGATGGGGCAGATGTGCCGGCACGTGTGTTGCGGCTGTGCGGCAAGCGCATGCGCCTCAGCTTCCGGCTCTGTCCGATGCACTTCAGTGTCCTGCACCTTGTGATGGGCCTCAACGTCAGATGCCTCACGACTTTCCTCAGCGTCCCGCTTTCGCTGACGCACTTCAGCGGCTTGCGCATAGCGACGGGCCTCAGCCTCTTGCGCTTTCTGTCTTTCCTCTTCATCTAACGCTTTTCGGTGAGCGTCACCTTCAAGTGCTACGCGACGGGCCTCAGCTGCCATCGCTCTACAGAGCGCGTCTTCCTTCAGCGCTCTACGACGCGCCTCATTCCCTCGCTTTTTTCGGCGGGTGCCTCTGGCGCCTGACGCGCTTCAGAGCTGTCTCTATCGCTCCGACTTTCAACACGATTTGAAGGACAAAAATATCTTATCAAAGCATATCTAGCATGACTAGGAAGTCCCCTGCTTCCTCGGCTGATAAGCAATGCATAATATGCCTGATCTTGGCCGGCAACAACGTGAAGAGTCTCTCCACAGAAAGGTCGCGGCTAACACCAACATTAGAGCAGACAACTTCAAAATCATCGAGAATATGTGCCATGTTCTCGCCTATCTGAAATTTGTGGAGCTGGCGTTTCGCTTACTGCCACTTGAGTGTTTGAAGTTCGCGGTCAAGCTCTTTCAGTTTGAGAGCATGCTCTCTCTTTTTGCGACTCTCCTCGGCTTTCCATTGTTCGCGCCTTCAAACTTCGAGCTCTTCACGGCATTTCTCGGCGTTTCGCTCATTGCGATTTTCCTCGGCCTCGTGCTTTTGCTCACAAATGAGCTCCCAAAACTCGTCAGCTTCCTCGGCCGTCACATTCTCTGCCCGCATAACATCGAGAATCGCTTCCCTTAATTTAGCGGACCCGGTGGAAACCCCATGGCTCCACAAATTTCAAAGAGGTCCTGCGCAAGGTACTGCTCCAGCACAATCTTGTCCCTCGTGATGCTCTACTCCTGATATCCACCGTACTCTAAAACAAGTCTCATGGTTTAAAGTATGTGAAAATCAAATTATATCCAACAAAACATAAAACACTGCCCCACCGTGGTCGTCTAGTGGCCAAGGTACTCGGCTGCTGACCCGCAGGTCGCGGGTTCGATGCCCGGCTGCGGCGGCTGCATTTCCGATGGAGGCAGAAATGTTGTAGGCCCGTGTGCTCAGATTTGGGTGCACGTTAAAGAACCCCAGGTGGTCGAAATTTCCGGAGTCCTCCACTACGGCGTCTCTCATAATCATATGGTGGTTTTGGGACGTTAAACCCCACATATCAATCAATCAAACATAAAACACTCTCCTAACATCTGCCTACGGTAGAGAGGTCTGGCAAAATGAACAGTAAGCGTTGGGCACTCACCCAACCAATGTAGCCGACGATGGTCCAACTCGAGGCTGCCGTCAGCGTCATCGGTGTCCTCCGGCCTGCAGAAATCCGCTCCAACTTCGAGCAGTTGAGATTGGGGTAGCGGGTTCCACAGCAGTAAAACGTTGAGGACAGGGGTAGCGTATTCTAGCGTATCCAAACGCTAATATCCGATTGCACATGGTCATCTTCAGGCTTCCAGGGATCCGATCCAACTTTTCAGTCGTTAAAATTGGGGTAGCGGGTCCCACAGTAGCGATACATTGAGGACAGGGGTAACGTATCCCAAAGCTGCCAACCACTGTTATGAATTCGGGTTTGATGGCATCCCACCACTGCCGTTACTGTTAAGAATTCGCTGTGTCGCGATGGTAG